TGTATATATTATAAATGTAACAATTATTATCGCATGCCATATGTATCTGTGTGAATATCAATCAACCTGAAATTACATTTAAATGAACACGTGAATTTTATCTGTCATTTGTACGTGCAAACCTATATGCCAAAACCTGAATTTATCACACAAACAATAATATTAAATTCATAAAAAATTCGAGAAATTTTTAAATAAGTGTAACATTAAAGTAACAAAATGATTTCTTACTTGTAATATTTTAGAAACAACATTAATTCCATAGTTGAGAAATTTGTAAATAAGAATAACATTGAAATGATAAAATAATACAATCTCCTACATGTTTGTAATGCTTTAGATATATTATTTATTAAAGATTCAAGTTTAAACGGAACATACGCACAGATAATATATTGCAAAAACATAATCTGTTCAAATAATTAACATATTTCCACGGTGGTATTCGTACTCTTCTCTTCTCTTCGTATTTTAAAATTTTTGTATGCTTCTTTCTAAATGTTTACAAATATTAAAAAATTTAATGTAACAATATTTATTATCGCAAAACATACATTTGTTCGAATATTCGGTAATTTTGTACAAAATTGTCACAGTCGCTCATTCGGTATAATTTCTAATAACATGGATATTATATTTGTTTCTTGCGTATTTACCAATATATTCGAACTTTTACTTTTTACATAATTATTCAAAACCATTTCATAAAGTCATGTAAAATGTAGACATCCAAACGCTTCAAAAATTATTTACTCAAGCATTGTAAAAAGGAACTAAAGGAATATACATTTCGTACATGGATTTAGAAATATTGTCTTCTAATGCACAAGAAAGCGAAACTTCTATTCCCAACTGCAAAATATGTAATCCTCCAATTCATTTCATAATATGATCATGTTAGTGATTTGATAAGGGTTCTGACCTCTACTTTTTTCATGAAAATATTGTGTAAAAAAGTAATATTTTTATGTCCAATTGCAAAATACATAATATTAAACGGTTCTTTCATCAAATATCGAGTGACGGAGACATTGTATCTATTTTAAGTTAAAAAATACGATTCGATAAAGTTTACGCAAACCTTTGTAACATATATTTTGGACAAACACTAATTATTTGATTTTTGTTATTCTTATTGTATATGTACTGAGATTGTCACTCGAAGATTCGTCACTATAGAAAATGTTTATTATATTCATGAAATCGGTTTAGCTTTTATAAATGTACAAACACATATTCTTTGCAGCATAATTTAAAGAATATTATGTTTCTAAATAATAACTATAATTTATTAATTTATAAATTTAATTATTGTGTTAAATCATAAATTTATGAATATATATATTTAAATTTACAAATTGTGTACATTTATAAAAACACCAAACGGATATGCGATAAATAAGTCAAAATACGCTAATGTCTTCAAATGTTTCAAATCACTTGTCAATGTCAAGATTGTCGTTATAGCTGATCGTGAGATGCTCCTTAAAAATGCCCTTATCGTTTCCAATTTTCAAACTCTGTGTAGATAAATCTGTAGAAACATTCGTAATATATACAAAAACAAATTTTAATTATTTGATTTTTGTTGTTTTTATCATGTATTGAGTACATCACTCAAAGAATAAACTGTAATAATAAATAGAATAAAATTACAATAATAATTAATAAAATATGATTAAAACTCACAATCATTTTTTTTCATTTTCCATGACTTGTCGATGGTCCACCTTGATCGTGTGCTGTCCCTCGTTTTAATTCTTCTTGTATTCTTTTCCAATCCTCTTGATGAGTCATTGCGTGTCTCTTTAAGCGAGGGATGTCAAAAGAATATTGTACATATTCTTTACAAATCGTACATACCGCAGATTCTTCATCACTTTGTCTTATGTATTTGAGAGTAAAATGTTGTTTAGTTATATAGTGATAGTAGTTATCACGTTGATAAAAGTTTTTGAAAGAATGCAGTTGTGAGTGAGTGTTCATGTCTTTAACTAATGAATTCCACTCCAGAACGAAACAACATAAAAAACATTGTATGTTTTCATCTTTCGTATATCTAAAACATCGCCAGATATCCATATCAGTTACTTCCTTTGCAAGTTTTATTGATCCCTTATCCATTTTACAAATCATTGTATGCTGTTTTACATGTTTCTTAATCTTGTCAATATTGATAGCTCGCAGTCTGCGGTTGCAAAATTTACAAGTTGCTCCAAAATGCGTAGAACTTGTAAAACATTTCTCCAACCAGTCATAATGGTCAGTTTGATAATCCCAAGACTGTTTGTCTCGTGATTTACCCCACCACTCTCTTCTTAGCACTAATAATAGCCACCTTTTTCTATGATTCTTGATGAAGTGGTTTTTCATTTCATCAATGTTCAAACAAACTTTTACACTTTCTCGACAAAGATTACATTTTGCAGAGAAATCATCAACTTGGTCTAAGTATTTCCAAATCCAATATTGATTTTCGTAGAACATTCGTTCTCTATCATTACGGTAAACTTCTTCAAGGGATATGTGGTCCAATAAATAGTTATCTTCTCGAAATTCAATCATTACTGTATTACATGAAATACACTGTATGTTGTTGCTTTCTGTTAGCCGATAAAACTTCCAGTCCTTCTTGAAAATATTCTTCATCTCATGGTTATAAACATTTTCATGCTTAGTATGTAAATGTTGAGCAAAAGAACAGTACGACGCGTATTTAAGGCGCTGTTGGCAAGATCGTTCTCGACACCGTACTCGAAAGTCATGGCAATCCTTTTTTTTAAAACATTTCGCTATCCAATTGTAGTAAGAACTTTCCTGTTTCCAACTCATTGTATCCGAGCTGTATGGCAGAGCACGTTGAAATGAACACGATGCGAGCATTTTTTCGTTCAAAAGTTTGATAGAAGAGGTCGAGGAAAGAGACGTACAATTTTTCTAGTTTGTAAGTGGTTAGTCACTAAAAGGTTGCATTCCCGAGCAATCAAATGCGGGCACGTCAGCCATTAGCCGTCATTGGCCGTTTGAGTTTCCCCAGACCAATCCATTGTGTTTCCACCAATGGCAATGTTCCGATTCATTAGCACACATGATCGAGCTAAAGCGCGGCGAGTGTGGCAGCACGTGTGTGACTTTGGACAAAAGAGTCTGAAGCCAGCAGCACACGGTACGTTTTTGCTTACTAGAATGATTGCGAGCTAGTAAATTAATAAAATACTGTTTGATGCATGGAACATTTCTAATATTTTACTAGCTCGCAATCAATACCGTAAAAAACGTATCGTGTGCCGCTGGCTTGAATCGAACCAAGCGTCCAAGCGTTAGGCCGAATTTTCACTGAGCGCCACGCGTCGCAATATCCGCCGCGTCACGAATTAACCAACCAAAATACCCCATTTTATTGCATTATTTGTCGCGCGAATACATTATCTGTTGAAGTAATTAATATCTCCACGGTGGTATTCGTACTTTTCTCTTCGTATTTAAAAATTTGTGTACGCTTCTTTTATACATGTTTACGAATATTAAAGAATTTAATGTAACAATATTAATTTTTGTAAGATATACATTTGTTCGAATATTCGGCAAGTTTGTACAAAATAAACTAATTCATCTTCTACAAAAAGCTGATAAATGCGCAAGTATATATTTGTGCCCTCATGATATGCGATATAAGACTTTAATTAGCATTTATAATAATACTAACTTCCTGATATGGATCACATATCACTTCTTTGTAAACCCATTTTTCTAGATTACATATAGTATTAATATATAAATGTATTTTAAATACATTTAGAAACTTAAATAACCATTACTTGATATAAATTTGTGTTACCAAATTGTAAAAAATAATTTAATGTATCGAGTAATCCTTCAGCAGAAATCATATCGCTCCTCTTAGAGCATGATTAACTAGCCCATCATTTGGTGAGATTTTCTCTTCAACAAATCTCACTGTCATGGAGTAATAGGAGGCTAAAGGTAGTATCTGTTGTGCTAGATGCTTAAATGATATGCCTGGAAACAAAATATAATGTTTTATTATTAATCTTTTTTAATTATATTTATATTTAATAAAAATTTTTAATGTATTCCTCACCAACATCTGATACTATATTAAAAGTTTTAACACCATAAAGATTTGTTAAAGGTTCTGAAACGATATACGATCCATTTATTCCTTTCAAACAATATAAAATATCCAACAGAAGTATAAATTTTTCAGACACAACTGGTACAACCTCTGTAATTATTTAATTATGTCAGATATGCATACTTTATTGTTTCGTAAGAATTTTGCAGAATTACAAACTTTGATAAAGTGTTACACTCACATCACTATAAAAGTCCCAGGTTATACGTGGACGCTCCGTTACCCAATTATGCTTCAATAAGACACCATCATTAATATTGACTAAACTTTGTTGAGTAATGGTTGGATCTCTTAGAGCACTAGTTTTCAATTCTAATGTGGACTTTCCAAATAGGTACTTCATCAATTCTTCATCTTGATATATCAAATCCAAAGTTTGTACAAACGGACTTAACAAATCTATTCTGAAAAGATATATTTTTTGTTATTCTTCAAAATTCAATGTAAATTATTTAAAAAAAATGTATCTTTTATATTATATTAATCCACACTAACATTTTCGATTTTAGTTTCTCATATTTCTGTAGAAATAAATGTAGAATGTAGTGAAAATACAGAATTTCACCTCAACTCTGGTTGAGGTGAAATTTTTGCAAGATACTGTATGCAACTGTGAGGAGCAACTGTATTTAATGCATTGGCTGTTGAGCTTTCTTTCTGAAGTTTTTCCAAGTGTCTTTCTGGGGCAGACTCCAAACTGAAGAAAATAATATTTATTTATAAAAATATTTGATATAGAATTTAATGTGTACATTTTTAAATCTATTTATACTTATATGATTTCAAAAATTAAATGTTACAATATATACAATATCATTTGTGATACTTACTTTAATACTTCAACTAATTGCACTATCAAATGATGCAGTTTAAATTCACTCATTGTGACTGACGACTTTAAATATTAACTGTAATACACTGAACAAAAATATGCCTACTTCATCAATATCGTAAATTATTCAGCTATTTCGTTAACTTTATATAAATTATTAATTATGCTTAGGTATATTCATTTTAAATGCTGATGTTATTTTACGTTTTTGAACGTTTGAAAGGTTATGGCAATCTTTAGGATATATTCAGAGTTGTAAAAGCGCATAAGCATATACATGAAGAAATGGATTGGTTCACTGTCTTATACAGATGCCACCGGACCAATAAAATTTTTTATGCCTACGCTCATGCATCTATGCAAGTTATATGGATATACCTTTAGTGTAATCCCTTCTGCCTAAAAGCGCTATGTCGCGAAACTTTTGAGTGCCTTGATTAAATACGTCCATAACACATTTTGACAGAAATTTTGTAACAAAAGACAGAAGTTATATAACTAATTTAATTTTAAAGGATTTTAAAACGTAAAGAATTATTTGCACTAATTTATTGATTTATCAACATTATGTGTAATAAAATCAGAAAAACCTTAGGAAACAAAAACTATTCTACTTTGAACAAATGATAAAATGTAATAAATATTCAAACTTTTGTTTCTAATATTATAATAAATTATCAAAATTATGTCATAATAAACTGTAAATTATTTAATAATTTTCTTGGGGCGATGTAAAGTACTGCATTTTATAACAGAATTGCTCGGTTTCTATTTCAGTGGCAGATTTTGTAGTTTCAGGTAGCATCAATTGATCATTTTTCTGCACCTTTAAAGTAACATGAAACAGTAATGGATTTGTGTTGTTTCTGAAAATAAAACACCACTTTAACGAACAAATCTACAATTATTATTTACTGTAATATATTTCGAATAATATCTTAAATGTGAGGTATACCTTAAACTCTTATTATGCGATGCAAAAGTTGAAGTAATCTGTGGGATACTTGCACTCACTGAATAATTGCGATTGCTAACAGGAGTTGTAGTTACAGATTGCTGTATATTTTGCGGAAATACAGACATAGTTTTGTTGTCGTCCACAGATTTTTTAAACCGTTTCATTAGATTCTGATCTTCGTCGGTAAGTGCACTTTTCTTTTTCTTTGATAATCTGCTTTGGAAATTTCTTATGCTGCAATTTTCTTTGTTGTACCTAAGTGCAACAAAAGATTAAATTAAATATAAAATACAATAATTATACATATTCAGATCATTTATGAATTAGTTTTACATGATATAATTCTTATCAATTATTTTTTTCATGTTTGAAATGAACTGTTCATCGTTATCTACTGTGTTCTCCATAAAAGAAACATTAGGTCTCTTGTTTTCTAAAAAATTGTTTCGATGTATGTAATCTGAACTAATTTCTCCTACAAAAGGTTTACATGTTAATAATATGAATGTAAAATATTCCTATACATACATATATTAATAATAATTTACCTGTCGTAGTGAGAAAAATGTTTCCATAATTATTAATGTTGTTATCGTTATTCTTGCTTGTAACAGATCGAGGTATTTTGTAACCCGATTGATCATTCAGTAGTTGTTCATTTATCTGTCTGCCAAAAACATTTTTATCCATTGTTAGACAGAACTACCTATGTATATAAAATTCAAATTATGATTAAAGTAATAATTTGCAACCACTTCTTTTGTAATTAAAAAATTAATATTTTCCTATAATTATTTAAAGTTATAACAGGTGATGTTTTAAGAGTTTAACGCGAATATTTTAGGACTACCAATGTCATGAAAACTGTGTGATTTACGTCCGATGTATAAATATGTAGAGCGCAATGCTCGCGCAATCTATTACAAGAGAAAAAGCTATATGAGAACCAATAGTCACTCACCATACACATGCGCGCGCGCTACATTCTTGAATCCTTTCTGTTCAATGTCATAAAGCAAGCAGAATATCGCTTCGATACCACTTGTTCATCTTGATAAAAATTAAACGTTTCTTTTTTTATTTTTTGCGAGATTGTAATAAATATTTGTATGTAATAATAAACATAAAACATGATTTTTTCTTGTATATATATATATATTTTTTTTTATGTGTATATATTATAAATGTAACAATTATTATCACATGCCATATGTATCTGTGTGAATATACAATCAACCTGAATTTTCATTTAAATAAATACATGAATTTTATCTGTCATTTGCACGTGGAAACCTATGTGCCAAAACCTGAATTTATCACGCAAACAATAACATTAAATTCGTAAAAAATTCAAGAAATTTTTAAATAAGCGTAACATTAAAGTAACAAAATAATTTCTTACTTGTAATATTTTAGAAACAACATTAATTCCACAGTTGAGAAATTTGTAAATAAAAATAACATTGAAATGATAAATAATACAATCTCCTACATGTTTGTAATACTTTAGAGTATTGATACATTATTTACTAAAGATTCAAGTTTAAACGGAACATACGCACAGATAATATATTGCAAAAACATAATCTTTTCAAATAATTAACATATTTCCACGATGGTATTCGTACTTTTCTCTTCTCTTCGTATTTACAAATTTGTGTACGCTTCTTTCTACATGTTTACGAATATTAAAAAATTTAATGTTACAATATTTTTTATCGCAAGACATACATTTGTTCGAATATTCGGTAATTTTATACAAAATTGTTACAATCGCGCACTCGGTATAATTTTTAATAACATGGCTATTATAGTTGTTTCTTGCGCATTTACCAATATCTTCGAACTTTTACTTTTTACATAATTATTCAAAACCATTTCATAAAGTCATATAAAATGTAGACATCCAAACGCTTCAAAAATTATTTACGCAAGCATTGTAAAAGGAACTAAAGAAATATACATTTCGTACAAGGATTTAGAGATACTGTCTTCTAATGCACAAGAAAGCGATACTTCTATGCCCAACTGCGAAATATGTAATCCTCCAAATCATTTCATAATATGGTCATGTTAGTGATTTGATAAAGGTTCTGACCCCTACTTTTTTCATGAAAATATTGTGTAAAAAAGTAATATTTTTATGTCTAATTGCAATATACATAATATTAAACGGTTCTTTCATCAAATATCGAGTGACGGAGACATTGTATCTATTTTAAGTTCAAAAATACGATTCGATAAAGTTTACGCAAACCTTTGTAACATATATTTCGGACAAACACTAATTATTTGATTTTTGTTATTCTTATTGTATATGTACTGAGATTGTCACTCGAAGATTCGTCACTATAGAAAAAGTTTATTATATTCATGAAATCGGTTTAGCTTTTATAAATGTACAAACACATATTCTTTGCAGTATAATTTAAAGAATATTATGCTTCAAAATAGTAACTGTAATTTATAATTTTATAAATTTAACTTATCGTGTTAAATCATAAATTTGTAAATATATGTATTTAAATTTGCAAATTGTGTACATTTATATAAACTCAAAACAGATATGTGATAAATAAGTCAAAATACGCTAATGACTTCAAATGTTTTAAATCACTTGTCAATGTCAAGATTGTCGTTATAGCTGATCGTGAGATGCTCCTTAAAAATGCCCTTATCGTTTCCAATTTTCAAACTCTGTGTAGATAAATCTGTAGAAACATTCGTAACATATATAAAAACAAATAGTAATTATTTGATTTTTGTTGTTTTTATCATGTATTGAATAAATCACTCAAAAAATAAACTGTAATGATAAATATAATATGATAACAATAATAATTAATAAAATATGATTAAAACTTACGATCGTTTTTTTTTCAGTTTGTCTGGCTTGTCGATGGTCCATCTTGATCGTATGCTGTTTCTTGTGCCAATTCTTTTTGTATTCTTTTACAATCTTCGTTATGTTCTTGTATGTGTTGTTCCAATTCAATGAAGTTATACATGAATGGTATATTTTCATTACAAATCGTACATGTCGCATCGTAATGTTCATTTTCGTTTACGTATTTTAGTGTAAAATGTTGTGTTGTTATATAATGATAAAAGTGATTATGTTGATGAAAGTTTTCAAAACAATGCATTTGGGCGTGAGTGTTCATGTCCTCAGCTGCTAAATTAAACTGTATCGGCTGGTAAAGCGGCATAACAAGATTACATATAATACATTGTGTTGTTTTTTCATTTTTTGTATATCGAAAACAACGCCAGTTATCCATATTACTTAATGTCTCTGTTAAAAACTTATCCATATTATAAATAGTTTCATGCTGCTTTACATGGTAATGAATCTCTTCAATTCTGATAGCTTGTTGTCTGATTTTGCAAAAGTTACATATTGCTTCAAAATGCATAGATTTTGTAAAATATCTCATTATCCAGTCATGCTGGTTAATTATATTCATTAAAGACTGTTCGTTGTCTTGTGATTTATTTATCCACCCTCCTGTTTGCATTAATAATAGCCACTTTTCATTATGCTTGTTGACTACGTGCTTTTTCATCTCTTCAATATCGAAACAAGTTTTTATATGTGTTTTACAAAGACTACATTTTGCAGAGAAATCATTAACTTGGTCTAAGTATTTCCATATAAAAAATTGATTTTCATAGAATGTTCGTTTTCTATCATCACGGTAGACTTCTTCAAGGGATAAATGTTCCAATAAGTAGTTTTCATTTGTAGATTCTATCAATACTGTTTTACATAAAATACATTGTGTGTTGTACCTTTCTGTTAGCCGATAAAATTTCCAGTCCTTCCTGTCAATGTTCTTCGTCTCATTATTAAAAACTCTTGGATGGGTTTCATTAATATGTTCTGAAAATTTAATGTACTTCGCGTATTTAACAAACTCTCGGCAAGATTCTGTTCGACACTGTACTCGAAATCCATGGCAATCTTTTTTTTTAAAACATTTTGCTATCCAGAGTTGGCGATCACTTTCCTGTTTCCAACTCATTGTGTCTAATCTGTATGATACAGCGCGTTTAACTGAACACGATGCGAACATTATTTCGTCGAAAAGTGCCTGATGGAAGAGGTCGAGGAAAGAGACGTACAGTTTTTCTACTTAAACGTAAATATTGACAGCGTTCAAACTTATCTAACAGTTATCAAGAGAGGTAGTCGGATCTAAAGCAAATGTATAGTAATATAACAATTACGCGAACGAGAAAGAGGGTGGGAGACGGGGGGAGGTAAAGGCATTATAGCAAATCTGTAATACAGATAAATAATATTTTTTAAATAATGCAAAAGTTGTTCTTAACGGAATTTATAACTTTCCCTTAATATTCTATTATCTATAAAAATGACTACATCGAAATGTGTGGCTTTTTTAATTTGTTGATACTACGACATATAAGAAATAATGCATTTGATACACTTTTTACAGAAACATAATTATTTTTTTTCTTATTTTATTTATCTCATTTATATTTTAGATGCGCCAGCATTGTTATCGTTATTTCCTTCATTCTTCTTCGCAATGTACTCCAAATTATCAGTGTCATTTTCATATTCTATTATTCTGTTGCTAATTACTTGATGACTATAATTTTAAGTATCTTTTAAATTTAAACTCTTTGGTATTCATATTGAAATACAGCAAATTTTTGTAATAATGTTTGAAATTTTCTACAATTTATTGTCTTTTGATTGTTGGAGTATAAAAACATTTTGCCGTCTCATTAACATGGAACACATATGGATTAATGAAAAAGTATTACACATAAATTTTTGGAATAAAAAAGTAACAAGTATAAATTTTTATAATAAAATAAAAGTACATATTTAATTATAATTATTTCAGTAACTTATACAAAATTAAAAAACAAATAATTAAACACAATATTTTAAAACAATATTTCAAACAATATTTAATCTAATATTTAAAATTAAAAGTAGATAAAAAATAAATCCAAGACTAGGAGTTAAGCTTCAAGTGATCGGACAACAATTTGGATTTCAAGATTGAATGTCAAATAGTTCGCTTTTCATGATAAAATTTCCTATTCGAACAGGATCTTTGTAACAGACAAATGTAAATAACAGTGGCATTCACATACTTCTAAAATAAAATTATTTTATTAAATTTTATATTGTGTAATGAAAGATTATTTCGTAATTTACAATGTTCTGCGCATTGCTCGGGGCGATTATACACACACCTACAGATTATTTAGTTACATGTTTAATTAAAAAATTTTGCAATATGCGGTGTTGGCCCTAGTTATTATGACACGCGCGGTAAAAGAATGAAATAAGTGACCAGAAAAGTCGTCTAATAGTTTAACTAATTTTGAACACTGTTATAAAGCAATCATAAATCACTTCAATACTACATGTTTATCCTGATAAAAATTAAACGTTTTTCTTTTTAATTTTTTTAGCGATCGTAATATATATTTATATGATGTTATTTAATAAATAATTTCTTGATACATTTTTTTTCATGTTTATATATTATAAGTATAACAATTATTATCATATGTCATATATGTTCAAATGTAGAATCAAGTTTCGAATCTATTCTTTTAATCAAGTCTCGAATTTATTCTCTCGATTTTAAAAGCTGCGTCAGACTATGTAACTTGTTGCAACCATTTGCATGCGATCTAGTAAACTACTAAAAATGCACCATACAGCACACAGCATTTTTAGTAATTTACTAGATTGTTTTGCAAATTTCTGCAACAAGTTGCATAGTCTAACGTAGGCTTAAGTTGTGTAGTTTGATGCAGGATTTATACATGGAAGAGGGCAAAGGCGTCTTCATATATATAAACTCTATGCTTTACGTGAGAATACCGTTGAAGGTTAGGTCTCAATGGACTTTATGAATGTGTTTCTAATGTCAATTGAAGATACAATGAATTTTGTAATATTAACATAAAATCAAATTGTATTTCTACTTGTAATTTAAGAGAATTGTTTTTTTTTATACATTTTTGAAATATGACGGAGATAGAATGGTGAGATTAATACTAGAGTATTTTCTTTGCTATTGTAATAATGGAAGTAATAGCATACTTTAATAAGTTTGCTGATTTAAAAATTATATAAGAATCTTGTTACAGGATATCAAAGCCTGTAGAACAAGGAACTGTAAAGTTTGCATATCAGGAGGAAGCTATAGACCATCCTTTGAAACCAGTTGTTATCACTGTAAGATGTTTTATTATCAAAGTATACAATCTTGCAAATGTTAATTTAATTTTAATTGTATTTTATATAAATACGATTTTATAATAGAAATTTTTGTATTATTTTTATATAGTTAATTGACGGACGTGGTGCAGTCAGACGAAATGCTTTGCGAAGTACAAGTACTGGTTCTTCTACCGGTACACCAACACCAACGCATACGCCAATTCCTGCAAATCCACTGAGTGATCCATTGCTGAACCACTCTTCTCTGGATGGCTCTGATCCTTTAACACAATTTGCTCGAGAAGAACTGGATCCTCTTTCGAAAATGGCTGCAGATGAAGTAATATCTGTATTTGTATATCTATATATGTGCTACTTCTCTCATATCTTTTTATAATACAGATTTGTTATGTACATTGTAGTGGGATTATTCCAACGTTGCGCTTGCTGGTAAAAAGCTAAAAGATACAGCAGAAGAATTAGTAGAACCATGGTCTATGAGGCGTTCTGCTATACTGAGTAAATATACAACTTCTGAAAAATTATCAATTGTTACCAGCTTCTTACCAGGTGGAGAAAAAGGTACTTAAATTGTGAAAAAGTTTAACAATCCAATTTTGTGATATATTCTATATATCAAAAAATTAAGATTTAATTAAGATTTTATTACAGTTGTAATGAAAGTTCAACCAAGTGGTCCAATGGTTGACAAAGTGAAAACAAGGCTCGAGCAATTGGATGACTTTGAGGAAGGCTCTGTTAGACAGATGTTAGACTTGTCACAGCAACAATATATCGCGCGAATCGAGCAATTGAACAATGAACTGGTACAAGCTTGGCATTCTGATCAAAGAGTAAAGGCACTCAAAATCGCAATTCAGGTTTTTATTCATTTATTTTATATACATATAAGTTTAGGGTACAACTTGATGATTCAGAAATTGACTCTAAATTATTTTAGTGCGCCAAATTATTAGTGGACACGTCTGTAATGGCTTTTTATCCAAGCAAGTTTGTTGTCATCACAGATATCTTAGATATCTTTGGAAAGCTTGTGTACGAGAGATTGAAAATGAAGGCTGAATATTACAAGTACTTATCCTACAAAGAGTTTCTTAATTTTTAGTTGCATACTTGTTTTCTGTTTTTATTGTACAGATTATACTGCTTTCATAATTGCTAATCACATTGTATCTTTTTTAGAGCGGGAAGTAAAGTACCCACAAGTTTGCCTGATAATTTTACACCCGACATGGTTCCCGAAAATGCCAAAGAAACCTGTCGGAATTGGTTTTACAAGATAGCATCTATACGCGAATTAGTGCCACGTCTCTATGTTGAAATGGCGATAATAAAATCATACAGTTTTCTAACGACAAGGTAAGACTCTTGTAATATCATGAAAGTCAGAAACATGACATAACAATGCTTTTATTTTAGTGAGTTTAATACTGCTCTCTTACGTATAACTCGCATGATAAGAGGAATTGGGAATCCATTAATAGCGGTTTATGCGAGATGCTATTTATGTCGTGTGGGATTAGCGTTGAACAAAACATCAGATTTTGAATTTGTGAGGGAAAACCTGTACGACTTTCTTTTTACGTACCAGCAACTGTTCGGAATTGCCGTGAAAAATGAATTGGCGAAACAAAATGTCACTCTGCACGCATATCTGAATCTTTATTCGCCGGCTTTGGATTGGATCGTACAGGTCTTGGTGGCAACGTCAGCCGAGAGTCTGCTTGAGGAGGTCCTGTCACGATGTAAAAAACAAGAAAACGGGTAAACATATTTTAAACGCACATTTTTCAATCTATTTTTAATCACTTTTAATAATCCACGTATATTTTTTTTCAGATCATTGTTATTGAATACAGTGCTAACTGCATTTAAACCGTCATACATTGCTGCGCGCGCCATGGACTTTGTGAATTTAATAGTGGCGAGTGAAGACGATGGTATTGATATTAAACAATTAAATCAGAGATACAGTAGAATACGTACTTGCAATTCGAAAGGTGTTAACGTTTTCTTTCAACGATTTGGATAGGATATCCCCAATATCTCTTATATCGAAGTTTGGGAGAGTGTCTTGTGCAAGAATCTCCGCCGAAAGAAGACTGTCAGTCGGTGCTGAACGTGATATGGAAGTACATAACGGATCTTACAGATTCCAATAAGTTTATGCACTGCATCGAGATCTGGATTCAGTTCACCGTTATACATTTTTCTGTAAGTTGTACAGATTATAACAACGCATGACATATTGCATAAAGTTATTATAATGTGTACGTATGTATTACACAGGTAAACGAATTGAATTTATTTTTTGGCAAAATAATAGACCATTTACGACCGAACAAAGCTTTCGAAAACTATTATCCGCAATTGCAGAATATTGTTGAGAAAATAGTCACTCATACGCAAGATTTTGAATCGCTGCTGGCAATGGTAACTATCTTAATTGTATATTGTATTCATCCAATAAGTTTTAAAACACTAAATCATCTGACATTCGATCTTATATTGTTTTCAGGATAACTTTTTGCCTTTAATCGACTTGTTTCACAAAGAAAATATCAAAGTTGAGGTTTGCAAAACTGTTATAGAAGGATTGAGCGCGCAAAATGGACCCATTACAGATCCTATCATTATAAATGCTCTGATGTTTATCGCAAGGATATTGCACGACTCTGTCAGGTATAGCAGTTGATTCTCGCGATACAAAACTTATCCTGGTTTCTAAAACTGAATTAATCTACGCAGCGCTCTAACCGTCGAAGATGAGAAACGGCAGATCGGACAATTGATATGCGGCCTGGTGCAACGAGTGGATTACGGTCGCGATTTTGAGAAGCAGCTTAGTTTCTACGCAGAGGCAAGGGCAGCATTTCCTAATCTCGATAGCGTTCATGTACAACTTGTACAGGTATGATGCGTACTGTTCTTCCTTTTGCAATGCTAATCTATGTCAGAATAGAGAATGCAGAGCGCTCTAACTGTTTTTTTTTTTATTCGTTCTTAGTGTGTAAATAGATTATCAGTCGACACTAGGAAGATAGTGCGCGGTCATCACACGAGAAGAACGTCGGCATTCGTGCGCGCCTGTGCTGCGTTCTGTTTCATTACTATACCGTCGTTGACTTTGGTCCACATTCGCCTTCAGTTGTATCTACTCTCTGGACAGGTCGCTCTATTGAATCAGTGTCTAGGCCAAGGTATGAGTTAAATTAATTTTTTCGTAATAAAATACCACTTTACTAATTTCGTTGTGTCATGTACGTGAAATGATTTTTCAGCCGATGCCTGCTTCAAGGCCGCTTTAAGTTTAGTTCCGGAAATGCCGAAAACTATCGACATCGATGGAAGGCAGAAAAGTTCGCAACCTTACTTGCTCTCGTATCTGTCCAATTTCTTGTCAACGTTACTCGTAGTTCCGGTATGTATTTTAATATATTATGTATTTTAACTTTGTAATTATGAGAATTGTTCTGCCGTATTAGGATAGTCCAGAGCACGGTGTCTTGTACTTGATGAGAGGCTTACTCAATGCTGTTCAACGTTGCTTCGAGGAAAATACGTCGACCAAGTCATATTTGTACTTACGTGTACTCGATCTTCTCTCAACAATAGCACAGGAAAATTATCCCTATCATATTGATAAGGTATTCGATGCTTTTGTACATATTTGAAGAAATTAGCGGATAATAGATATTATATGATAACACTTTTCGATAGGTCGATTCAAACGATAAATTGTACGGATCTGATCAGAAATTTATTGGCGAAGTCAATAAAATCTGCTCGAAGATTGTCGAGGAAATTCTGAGTCATCTCAAATATCTTGGATCCACCGATCAACTTGACAAACAATCGACTCTGGCACTCGAATTGTTTAACTGCTTCGTTATCCGCGCAGATTTACGGGATCCTGCATTGGCAAACATGGCGGTAAATTTGTGGCACTTGTCACAACGACACGGTTCTGTGGATCCCAAAGTAACGGTAAATATATATTCACAATGACAGAATTTAAGGCATCTTTATGTAATAGTTTTGCTTTTGAATTCTCTAATCGTTTCTTGAATTTCTTAGATGAGAACAAAGGCTTACATGATGCAGAAAAGTCATCATCGAGAATATGAGCATTTCGCCGATATACTCAGAAAAACGTCGAGATGAATGGTTTTGGCAGAAACTCATCGACAAGAATGAGGAACACAGTTTGAACATATTTTATTGGCAGTTCTTTTGGAAGACATTTCGTGTTTGTGAAATAAATGTTCTGCCTAAGTCAATCAAATTGATTAGTGAATTGCGAAGGAACAAAATGGAGTATAAGTAAGTTATAACAGTTATAAACATCTAACTGAGCATTATTTTATATCATATTTTATAAACTATAATGAATATTATATAAAACACGAAATATACATGTAAAGTTAGCATTGAGATGAAAATTTTCACTCTCACGCAATAAAAGTGTCATCTCATATTGACTGCACATTCCTTCGAAGGAATGCCTTTAATTTTGCGAAGTTTACATGTTTTCTGAAACATGTAATTTATAAACATCTGTGTATGTGCATTGATTAATGCACACTGATACAATTAGGTCGATTCATTCATCTATGTCGTCATAAATTGTCATGAATTCAACTTATCATATGTTACTTTTTAAAAGTTACATTATCCACCTAATATAACTGCCATAGAAAAATAATGAACATTTATAGACTTTGTATATATATATATATATATCTTTGCGACTATAATGGAAGACATGATTTGGAAGACGCAAGACGGAGCCGCCAAGATTTATCCTTATTCCTTTAGCACAGAGCGGAGCGCGTCGAAAAATATATCAGCATGACGCTCCGTGAAGGTCAACGCAGGCCTGAGTCGCACAGCCTGACTGCCGCATCCACCTGCTTGAATGCCTAATAAGGACACGGAAGATGCGAAAGTGTGAAAACTATTCTTAGCGCTTACATTTGACAATGCGATAATAATAATCTCTCACCTTTAGTTAACAATTTCTTGACGATGGCGTCTCGCAATTGAGACGAAGCACAATTAAACGCTATGAAAGTTCCACGACCGCGCACTGCGTTGATCGTATTGGAATGTTCATTTTGTAAATCCTTCAAATTTTTCAACATGTAATCGCCAACGCGCGTGACTCTATCTAAAAGATTCTCCTTCTTGATTATTTCCAGGATTGCTTCGAGCAGTATTACCTTGCTGGGGTCGCCCATCCACGTATTGAACACACGATACCCCTGCTTTGGCCTGTAATGTCGAGCGTGATTGATCAATCGTGAGTATTTTTTATTCTTGATGCATTAAGTTTGATCGTGAAAAGAGGTTTTACTTGAAATCTTCCAAGTGATAATAACCGCCCAGTTGCATTTTCTTGCTGAAGGTCATCACGTCGGGCGGAGTACTTAAATTGAAGTGCTCGTGGCACCACATTTTTCCCGTCGGCCCGCCACCAGTCTGCACTTCGTCGATAAGTAACGCAGCGCCGTGCTGAAGTATTTTAATGGAAAAGATTGCTATTGCGATGCCCTTATAATGCACAGTGCGAGTTACGCGGCTTACCTTTCGCGTTACACGTTGAAGTTCCTGAAAGAATTCTGACGACGCGTGATTGTCGCCACCTTCTGCTTGTATGGGCTCGATTATCACACCGGCCACCGGCATCCTTTTCTCGTTTTTGTACCTTTCAAACAACTCTTCCACCTGAAACGTCATTTCACTTTTTCAAATGTGAAATCTTTTATACGCGGGACAGTAATGATTCGATGATCACCTCCGCGATGCAACGCTTATCTTCCTGTTGATTTTCTCGCACGTTCTCCTCCAAAGGATATTTGTACTCTGGGAAGGAGGCAATAGGCCAGTCGAAAGCTGGTATATCCATCTTATGAATGTACTTGCTGTGAGTTGTTGAGAGACAACCTAATGTTCTTCCGTGAAAAGCACCTATCGAAAAGCACAACATTTCGTCAAGTTTATGTGTTAATTACAAGCTCTGCTCGACAGAGAACTGATAGTACCTTTAAAAGACATGATGGAATAATGCGGCGAGCCGGGTTTCTCATTTATCATGCACGATTCTATTTCTTCTTTGGTGAACGGTGCTCCTTGCCGTTGTTTCTCAGCGTACCAAATAAAAATGTTTTTAAAAGCGTTCTCATTGGAACAAGAGCCGCACATCATTGTCGTGATGTGCGATAATCCAGGCGGGGCGACCTGTTTGGAATAACGATTTTCAATCAGAACGCAGAAAACAAACTGTAACAAACAAATATAGCTAAGACGTGTTTGTCACCTCTTTTTCGAGCAGAACATTCTTCAATCTGTTGGGCCAGTCTTTCGCAGGAAAGACACCCAATGCTGGTCTATTCGCTATAATTTTCTGCAAGAAAACAAGAGAGTATTTCTCAGCTCGACCGCTCGGCATGCAATGCGCGAAGTGATTCGTGAGATATTCTCAGAAACGCTAGATTATTGCAAGTTTATCAAACGCCGTACACTTAAGGTTTAAGTGATATATTCTGTAGAGGAGATTAACATGCAAATTTTATACGTGAAAAAAAATCCGCTACTCCGCGACAGAGTGACTTTGTATCTCTCACTTGATTAACGGGATCGGCGAGCGCCTCCAGCATCGCCGGATGATTATAGCCTAGAGGCATCGACGAGATTTGCATGTAAACGTCCAGCAGTGCATTCCCATCGACGTCCATTATGTAATTACCGGAAGATTTCTCGTAGTCTGCGAAAAACTGTACGGACGACGCTTGCTGCACAAATTTCAACAGTATCATCCATTTTGCTTCTGGCATACGTATATTCATATTTCATCATGCGCGTATTTCAATTTTACGCAGATACATTAAACATGATTGTCGAATGATAGAACCATTATTGAATTGACATTCAACGAAACGTTAAAAGCATAGTTGCAGATGATAGCGATTGACAAATTGCATATTTATGACACTCTGTTGTGAAAGAATCGTAGTGTCGCACATACTTGTATCGAATTTAATTCCTGCAGCAAACTACGCGACCGAGGGCCGGGTATTTCCGTCGCAACCACTGGCCCTTCAGGTTCCCTCGAACCGGTTGTTAAGCATCTTTTCCACGTTGTAACGCCTGCAACAACATTATACTCGACATACTTAAACGTACTTCGATATGTACATAATCTTGAAAAAAAAGTATATCTTGTGTAAATACATTTCTTTGCATTTTTCGGAGCTCTGCCGGATATTCGTATCCGTTCAGAAAAACAACTTAACTGCTGCCTCGTTCAGCAGCTCTGGCGATTAGTTTTATTGACGTCAGTTAAGGATGATTGCTTGATATATCGCTGTGATTTGCATCGAGCCCCTCACAAAATACTGCATGCCGCAATCAGATACGTGAGATACGTAAGATACGCGTGAAATAATACACGCCAGAGAAGATCGAAATGCTTTGCACGTGATTTTCACAAGAATTTCAAGTTTGCCTTTCTTTCCAAAAATTATTTGCGAGTAAACAATGCGGAGAGATTTTCATTTTGAAACAATTCTTATAATCAGTTTTAATTGTAAGAAAAAATAAACCCAGCTTGAAGTGAATGTCGCATAAAAACTGATTTAAAATAAACAAAGGAACACATCCGAGGTCGAAATAAAAATATCTTCAAAAACAAACTTTTTTTAGCTGCGCTAAGCCTTCGGATAAGATAACGTGGGCCTATATCGAAAGCTATGAATATGTACGCCGAAAAGATATGACGTCGAAAGTATTTGCCACCGAAATGTATAAAAAAGAATTAATATATTAAATTTACCGAATATTGTCTGTGATTTTTGCATTGCGATTATGCCGCGTATTACACAGGCCGCCCTAAAATTTGCTGGATAGCGAAGCGGCTGAGATGAATTTATTGATTTTGTCGAGGTCCACGCAGCATTTACGACGGAGCGACGTGCTTCGCTTTTCCTGACCGACTTTCGTATGTGTATTAGAGAAAGGGGCAAGCCAAATACCTTTTAGTAGCCGCCGAGTTGAGGTCCGCGTGCTCAGCACGTGATGGCACTTGTTAACGAACATCTCGTCGATGGACGAGATAAGGAGTACGGTTACGACGAGGGCTGCTCTCCGCTGCGTCGTCTCTGCGGAAGGGATGGAGCCGTACTGGTCGTTGATACACGCTGATAGCGTTCGCCGAGCGGAAAAGAGGCGCGAGAGTGAGGGCGTGAGTTGTACGAACAGCCGCTTCCGCACTCGAAAGTGTGCTCGTCAAAAAACGCCACACTTCTCGCGGCAGAATCGTGAATATCTTTAACGGTGAATTTGTCACAAATCCGTTGTGAAAAATATAACAGCACCATCGGCGCGCCACTCGATACTTTGTTAAAAAATCATTAAGCAGCGTGCTGTCAAGCAACATTTCTCGAAATCTATGATGAATATTCGGGAACGTGCGAACGATCGAGAACAAAAAGGAAAAGAGAGAAACATTTCCGACACTTCTGGCAATCATCTGACTGCGAAAGCAGCTGCTGATTAACGCGAGGTATCAAATACATCGTTCTTGTTTACTCGGTTGTTTGTTGGCTCCGTCAACAAATACCGGCGTACACGGTTGTGTTGAGAATAGTATAATACTATTATATTTCCGGCGATTCCATGCGGAACGTGACACGCATTCGGTGAAAGTGAGAGTACGAATTCGGGTTTTTCCTTCATTTTTTGCGGGATCGATCTTAATAAAAAGGGAGGGCGGCAAACAGTGTCCTCGCACAAGAGTGCTGGGCCGAAGGAAATGCCTTCGATAGATCTCAAAGAGGGCGTTTTTGATACTGATGTATTCTTTTCCGTACTTCTTGTTTCAATGAACTGTTTATGATTAGTCAAAGATCTCTCTTTGCTTCAAGGCCTTTTTTATATTTTCAACAAGATAGGCTGAATTTTATTCTTCTTTTTCAACTGTGAGAATAAGGAATGCTGTGAGAGGAGTTTTTTTCGTGCCGACCCTGGATTATTTAAATCTGTAATAAGATTTATGAATTCTATAATGACAAGAAACAGAAAAACAAAAAAAGACAAAAAAAAACTGCGCGTGGGTGTCAGAACGCAAAAGATATTACAAATCAATACAGGAGTCATTACGTATGTCATTTGGTGCTAATAAGCTTAACATCACAAATCATTCACGACATTAAATTATATTGCATAACTGATTTACCGTTAATAAAAATGGTATAAATAATTACATTAATTGAGATGTATTTTCTGTCATGCTTACATCATTATTCACAAAAATATATATGTGGACTCGTGTTCAATCTTCACAGTCGAAAATGCCGCAGTGTTTGTACTGTGCTTGACCTCATTACGGAAGACGGAAAGCTTCCAGTTACAACCGCTTCTGTCTCCAGACGGAGAATTTTATAAAAGAAGTCGGCGAACGAGTAAGCTTCGGACAAAAGCGACGAAGCGATTTATCATCATTTTGAATATCTTACGCGATAAGGTCTTGGAATAGGAATATCCTTGCAAAATTGGAATAAATTTGAATTTTTGTAAGCGTACAAATCGCGGTAGCCATTGTTAGATGCGTGTCGGACTTTTGACGGCGCGATTTCAAATGATTTCGATTGATTTTCCAATTTCCGTTCCGATCATTCATCCCCACTATGCAACAACCTATCCGACTCACCTGGAAACCACGCCTCGAGTCCTTTGCCTACAGGTGGAGGAGGTGGTCGTGTTTTTGGGCAGCTCGGGCCGCGCGCACGCACGTATATTGTCACTCGTGCGAACGCACTCGAGTGGATTCGTCCGATCGCGCGGAACTTGTCATTCTCCATCCGTGAATTCACCTTTCCCGAAAAAAGGACTGTCGATTTTCACCTACTTAAGAATTGATCATCAGGCCGAGCACGTGCACACTCGGGTGAGTATGACTTACGGTACTCGTATTTTATGTGTCAATATTGTCATTGATGACTTCGTTGATGCGAGGCACAAAAAAAAACCAGCGAGATAGATCGATTCCTCGAAATCTAATGTTCGACACTGTGAAAGACGAGCTTTGTTAGATGAAATATCTCTTCGTGTTTTCCAGCCACACTTTTGCAATAAATTAAAAAATCAGAATTTTTTTTCCCCAAAGATAACGCGTTGGCATTATTGAGAAAGTGAACTGATCACAAACAATTAGCACAGTCGCCAAGTTGACGTGGTGTAATTAATTTTAATTTAAAGGATCACTGCTCGACGTTCAAAACAAACGCTTCTGCGAGCGTGAGAAAATATTAGCTGCTTTTTATATTTTAGATAGATAATACGAAAAGCATAATTTTATAGAATTATATAATCTTGCACAATGAAATTAAAACTAGAGGCAAACCTAAAAACTTTAGTGGCAAAAAAATAGTAAATTTATTCAATCTACTTGTGACTTACTTTCTTGTTCGCTCTCATCAGCAATTATAATCGTTTTCTCGTATCTATTTCCTGTCGGCCAATCGAAGCAACTTGTACACGCTATGGCGCGAGGAATATCGAAACTCGATTACTACACTTCAATCGTTGCTTCTTAGATAAATTTGTCGCGTTCGCACGACCTTGGTGCATGGAAACGGCATCAGTCTTCTCCTCTCCTCCTCTTTTCCTTTCTCCCTCTTGTCTCACGATTTCGCCAGTGTCTCGAAACCGGTGTAACCCGGCGAACCCAATTTCGACGATCGGATAGATCGTCGGTCTTTGCGCTCGGCGGACTGATCATTTTTCCTTATTACTGACATCTATCCACGTGCGCGATTTGACTATCGATTACTGTTCGAAGCACTGATCAGTGTCAATTGATCGCCGCTAACTTTTCCGTTCACTATTGTCGTCAAGAAATGTTTATACGCTTTGCGATACGTCTGATACACATTTCTGAACTGAGAAAATGTATTTTTCCTTTCAAACTCTTTCATTGATACAGTTGAATTTGATTTTAGCGCCAGTTTTAGGAAAGCAAACATTTTAGAAACATTTTTACGTCCGCAGACTGCACTTAAGTGACGGATGAAATTTATGGCCGCAACTTTCGAATCGTGCAACTCAACCGATATATAAAGAGAATACGACGATACGAGAAGAATTCACATCTGTGCTGATGGTTCACGACTGCTCATATTAACGCGGATTATTAGCTTATCCTTGCACTTTTCCGTTCGTTTGATTTATTCATGAATCGGGATACTAGAAAATCGAAAAAAATATCGCCGAGTCAGCAGTAGCGTAATTGATAAATAGCATGCATTATTCGATATGTTTCGATATGCAAAACCGATCCTAATGATTCAGTCACGTGAATCTAAAAATTCTAGCGCAAGAATGTTTCATCAATTATTCCATGAATTCGTAACGGTGCTCAATTGAGATATGGATTTTCAACCGATTCGCGAATATTCCTTCTTTCCGGTCATTCACTTCATGAAGGAATCCAGGTGTGATATTAGTTTTTTCAAAAACAGTCAAAGCCCCATTCATTTCGCGTTTTACAACCGCGATTAGTATCGTTTCTTCCAAATCCGGATGCGAACAATCGTCGATTCTCGTCCCCCGTCGCAGGAATTTAGACGGTGAAGTCGAAGGAGGCGAGAAGAATCGGGAAGGTGCGAAAAACTTGTTGTCAGAACTAAACAGCCTTGCGTTATAAGTGTCAAATTTATGTTTCCGACCGTCACCTCAAGACGCCGTTCCGAATCTCATTACGTCGCCTACCTTCGTCTATTTGAACGCGAATCCTTGCAGACAGAATCCCTTCGAAGGAATCGCTTTTCGCTTTCCTTCGTTTATCACTGCGTTTATCATTTCGATAGTGCCGAGAGATAAAGCCGCTCTCAAGTGAAGGTTAACCGGCTCTGTTTTACATTCGACTCTTCTATATATATATATATATATATATATTATTTTTTTTTATTTTTGTTCGTACTACCAACGTGAACAATATGCGTACCATTGTGGCTTCGAGAATCCTGTTGTTGCGGGACCACTTTGTATTCATTTAATTATCTGATTAAGGTGCGGATTTGTTATACGATAAGATACAAGATAGAGAACAGGCAGATAATAAAATAATGCCTGCGTGAAAATTAATTCGGCATTGATCGCATACTACGTACACAATTAAGTTATATTTCGTGTAATCGGAAAATTTATCGAAAACGTATTACCGTTATTTTCTCCTTAAATCGATGTCCGGATTTATCGCTCGCGTAAATTACGAATCTGCCTCATCAAAATTCAGTCTGTGATCAGTAACTGATTAAAAATACGGTACTCCAAGTGATTCGTTCCATCTAACGAAGGCCATCGTTTAGTCGTCTTTTCATCTCGTGTGTCGTCGCGTGCCAAAACAGCTGTAAGAGATACACGTGTGCGCGTGAATGCCAATTCTAGTACCTTTCAATATGCTAATCCATCGATTAAAGACGACGAATAAAAGCGACGAATTTTAACGAATGACCCAGAGTGGGCATCGCAGATTTAAGAATTAATATCAAAATGTTGGGAAGAAAACGATCCTTGGCGGCGATCCTAATCTGCGCTACGTGCATCGCTTAATAATGATAAAGTGACATAAGTGATGGCGATGTACTCATCATTATTGCCGTGACGACATCATTGGCACGATATACGTCGCTTTACTTTCTTACGCAAGATTTCGTACCAGCTGATTCAAGGACGAGCTTTTATTCCATTATTATCATCGCCCCCGTCCTTTTCGAAGGCGGAACTCGTTACGATCAAAGTTTTAGGCACTGACTCGCACCCGGAATAGTCCTTTTAGATGGAAGAGATTTACAATCGACTATAAATTGTTAGTTGATGTCGTTCTCGTAACGGATTTTTTCATCTCTCAACGACAAAGAACAGTTCTTCCAGCTATATCCTAAATTATGTCATTCACATCAGCTTGCTTTATTAGTTACTTAATAGTCCCGCAATTTTTTTTATCAAATTTATTGCGAACGTAAAACGGAAGGAAAAAGAAAGAAAAAACATTAGTCATCAATATATAATTTTATTCTCTCTTCTGTAAGCAATTTCTTTTCTTTTTTATTCTTTTTATTTCAATTTCTATTTTCTTTCCTACACTTCTTCGAAAATTTCTTTTCTTGTTGCAAAAAGTCGTGGAAAAAAGGCGAACCAACCGTAGCTGGTTATTTGTGCTAAAGTTTATTGCAATTCTTCGATACGTCAAATTATAAACGTTTCGGATTTTTACTATTCTCAATGTAAATTGTAATTAAAATCCAGAACAAATATGAAACAAATATTCGGCACAAAAGGTATTTCGACGTGTCGATTAGTTTCGTTTATCGTTCAACGTTTGTAATAAAATTTAAACAAACGAGTATCACGTAAGAAATGTATTGCAATAAATAAACTTTTTCAAGTGATCTTATATTGTCATTATCAGCTTGTTTCAGCCGTGTTTGAGAACGTTTAAGCATGAATATTTCACAAGTCATCGTTTTGGTTTCAGGGAACAAAATGATTACCAGGCATCGAAGAAAGAACATTCTGCTCATAATGTTATACCTCTTTATGGAAGTAAGATAATTTTCCTTCTATTAAATGCATGCAAGATTAAAATTGTTAGCAGATTTTGAATATCGCGAACTTTCCTTCTATAAAGAAACACGTTTTAAAGTCTTCCGCGTTCTCATTTTTTTGCCAATGGCAACGAAAGTTCGGTGTGCCAACTCGTTTTTTGAATACACCCGTTAAACGCATTCGACAGTCTCAGCGCACTTCACCATTTCACAACACTTTCCCGCGGACGCGCCCTTAATACCTTACGTGCGAGTAAAAGTAACGAGACCGCCCACTTAACGACGTATCGCATATAGAGTGCACCGAAGAAAAGCGCGGGGAGCAACAGTTTTATTCTTACGCAACGCATTCATTTCTTTCCGCTTCTTAAACACGAACCTTTGTCACGTTGGATTTGAAAAGGTGCCCGATGAAATCCGTGGCCACGGCAGATTAATGGACCCGCCGTCACGGAATGCGATGTGGAGGTTCGGCTATCCGAACCCCGTTAATTACAATGACAATGAGCTTTTCTGCGGGGGATATGCAGGTTTCTTTCAATTTACAATCAATTCTCGCCACAAAGCCGACATCGACGATGACCGTCTGACTCGATTTACAGTTCACTGGCAGCAGAACAAAGGCAAATGCGGAATTTGCGGCGATGCGTATCATCTGAGTGAACCGAGGCCGCATGAAGCGGGTGGCGAGTTCGCCAAAGGGACCATAGTCAGGCATTACACTGTGGGCCAGGTAATGTATAACTTGCGCAACTCCTCTCATTTTCCACGTTAGCAACCACGAAATAAATTAATCACTGTTGTTTCTGGCTAAATTAGTGCTTTGCGAGAAAATTGTGGAAAATTTTATAATAATACAAGTTCAATGTTAGTATAATCTGTTTGGAGGAAATCGAAGTGGAGATCGAGCTAACGGCCAATCATTACGGAAGGTTCGAGCTCTACCTTTGTCCCAATAATGATCCATCGCGCGAGGCGACTCAAGAGTGCTTCGACTCGTAAGTGATGTCCCGCGCATCTGACGTATATAACTGTCGTTCTATCAGCAAATTGTAATGTATCTCATGTTGCGTAGCTATCCTCTGTACGTGTCCGGCACGCAAGATGTCCGATTCGAGATTCCACGCGACACGGAAAAGAAGGGCGTCATCCGATATACGGTAACGTTACCGCCGTACGTAACGTGTTCGCAGTGCGTCGTTCAGTGGAACTATTACACAGGCACGAAATTCTCTCGTACGATATTTCCCCTCCCTATTTTTTCCACGATAATTTCCTACTTCTTCGCTTTTCTTCCGCAGGAAACATGTGGGGCACGTGCGAAAACGGCACGGAAGCCGTCGGATGTGGCAGGCCGGAGACCTTTCGGAATTGCGCGGATGTGAGGATCGTCACGAGCACCGGTGGAATACCGCCGCGGTTCTTGTACCAGAATACCATTTATGAGCTCTATTCCATAGAACCAAAATTCTCAATTGCCCCGCTGGCCCAACCGCTGAGGTACGAGAATCGATTGAGAATTAATTGTCAATGTATTAAGCATCGATTGTTCTTCACACGGCAAGCGTACACGGCTTTCGTCATTTTAGGGCACAAGTATGCGAGCCCACAGCGGCCTATCGGTACAGGCAGAATATGACCAATTGGTGTCAAGTGAATTGCATCCGTGTTCCGTCAAATTGCCCGCCGGGCGTCTGTTATTGTCTGTAAGTATTATGTAAATCAGCCGGCGCAAATCCGAGTGACATTGTACCGAAGGATTGCGATGTGTTAATCATCGTTGTTATTTGATCATTTTCGTTCCGATGTACGTTTCGTAGGAACACGTGCGACGCTATTGGAGATATCGCTGATAGACCCGGCGCGGACCAATATTGCCTGAGACGTTGCATGCGTTATCCATCGAATTGCCCGACCGATCGCTGCAACTGTTATTGAAATTGCGAACTGTGACCTGTATTGACGTGCCACATATAGCATTATATTGGGGGATGTGAATATGCATATATTTCCGAATAGATTAATAAAACTGTAACACATAATTTTACGCTACGTCGTGCATCAATTCTATGGAAAAATCTTCTATACGAGAGCATTTTCCTTACCTCATTGTGGACATCTTTATCTCCGTCTGAACGTTAAAGCTGTAATCGATATTGCCGAACAAAGATTAGTTCGTGTGTTTTACTTGCGTAAGGATGACCGATCCGCATCACGTTAGATGCAAATGCAACAGATAAAACAATTCGCATATGCGAATGCGTTGTGATGAGACGATTATTATCATTTTGTACATTCGACGTTGTGTACGCACTCGGCAACGAGCGAGGCAAATCTGCAACGATGGAACCCACTCACGTCTTACCTGGTAAGTATAATTATTTCTTCATTATTACAAGAGATTATAATATGTTTTCTTTCCTTTCTTCCGTTTCTTTCCCACTCTGTTCTCTGATTATTTGACCGCCTTGGTGATACGCAATGATATTGAATTACTGCAGAGATTATGTTTCTTTCTAACTAATCATTGCCTTTGTATCTCTTGTCTCTTTCTCTCCCACGTTGTCACATGATTAAGCAAATATGAAATAATGAAAAAAATAATACAAGGAAGAAAGTAAGAAAAAAATTGCAAAATTAGCGGAGAAAACATGATAAAGGTAGTTTGAGTGATAGAAATTTGCGTAATGGCACTATAATATTTAATATTAAGACATTCTATTGACAGCTTAAAATATTTCACGCGTATATCACATATTATATATATATACGTAACCATCAACGTTTCCCCGCAGCCTTACGCACGATATATTAATTAGTATGCAACTATGTTTAACGGAACGACGGTTTACCAATTTTATGCGCCTTCCATCACCAACGAGAATTCATAATCAGTTATATTTGCTAATTAACGTATCTGTTTACATACGTTTCTTCGCAGCAATGTATTTTGTATATGTGTGTGTGTTTGTTGTGTGTGTGTGTGTATATGTATGTGTGTGTATCATAGATCTCCTATATAATATAACTATAATTAACACTTTATAAAACTATATACACTAAAGCCTTCTTTTTTTTTTATCGTCTACAACGCTAATAACATTTTCTTCCTCCACTTCTCTCATAACATATTCTTTACATATGTATTTATATCTTCACACGCGCAGTATCAATAATAATAATCGTCGCCGAAGTGCGTAATGTTAGCGCATCAAGTTAAGACTCGTGCTACGCCAAATTCTAACGCGAGGTGTACAATAATACAAAGGTATTCTGTTACTTATACGCTACTAATTGTCAAGCAACTAATCAACGTCTGCGACCCGTTTGTAGTTTAATTCTTCGCATACTCTCTTTCTCTCTCTCTCTTTCTCTCTCTCCCTCTCTCTCTCGTTCTCTCTCTTTGTCTCTTTTCTATATCTTTCACACGATTCTCTATTTTATCATTAATCCTCTCATTCCCGATGTGTCATTAATATATAGTACATATCTCTATTACGATTAATGGTGATATTCCTCATTTTGTTTTGATACATTAATAACAAAATAAATAAAACACGATAAATTATTGTCTTTATTTTGATGATATTTAGAATAAAATTAATAATATTGTCGATATATTATTGCATTGTTAAATCTAACAGAATATACCCAAGTATTTTTTTAATAAAATTTAGATATTATTTGGGAGTGGGAGGATTAAATCGCAGACAACCGCGTCTCGATCATGGACGATGGACGAGCAGAACACGCTCTTGGTATGCGTCTATCGTTTCAATGAACGTGTTTAGGACAACGCGATTACGAAAGTGTGCGAGCAAGATGCGTTAACTTTTCGCGTTAGAATATAAAAGAGTTACAACTAGAATCCCGATTTAGAATTTGTGGAAAGTTAATTTTCGCTATATTATAA